TCTGGCTAGGTTCAGCCTGATTTTGGCTATATAAAATTGTGGAAGTGGATAAAATAAAACTCACTATTTTCTTCTGGCTTTGTTTATTTAAAAAAAAAAACAACTGACCATATTTTAAAAAATCCTATTTGATACCAGGCTTAATAAACATCACAAAATCAGTGTATCTTTGGGAGATTTTGAAATTATTTTCACACCTAGTATTTATAGAGACAACCAAAACTGATTTGGCTGGGGCAGGATGTTGAAAGTTCGTATACACGATCAGATCATGGGAAGGGGAATACATCCTGAATGTTTTAAGCTGTAGTCTTTAGGTGTCTTCTATGAGAGTAATGATTATAATGTATAGTACAGCTGTATTTTGGCTATTAAATGCTGCTATACTCAATTGCTAAATTCATGATTATCTTAATAAGCTTTTGGAATTGCTCTGGCATCAATTTTTTTGAATATAAACAGAGCTGGCTGAATTAAAACATTTGTGGAAACATGCTGTGGACATTCACAAGTCGGAACACAATGACACTCTTTTGAAAAAGAGGGAAGCGATGGGGGAAGGAAAGGCATGGTAAAGCCAAACAGCTGCACATTGCCAAATTCACAGTTGTTTCAACCTCTCTCTTCTTCCCCCCCCCCCGGTGTACTGAGTGATATAGGAGTCCAGAGGGAAGTGCAGGTTGTAGTCGGGTAATTAAAGTCTGTAATACAGTGCATACACATAGGGAGCCAGAGTTAAGGTTGCACTATCATCTGTAAATCTCATGTTTGCGAATTAAAGTGCTTGGCTTGATAAGGTTTAAAAAAACAAAACAAAGAACAAGCCTCAGCCATTTGAAGCTGGGAACTCCCTGCTTGATGTTGACAGCTGGCTGTATACCCTGAGTCTCTGCAAGCGATAGTACTACTCCTGCCTTAATTAAAGGACTGTCTACGGTAGCTGGTAACGAGGAAAAGGTGATATCTCGGGCTAACGTGGAAATCTAGTCTGACATTTCAAAGTTTCCTGCTTAAATAGCTTTAAAGTAAATGCAAATGTAATTAAATTATGTACTTTATTAGGACATTCCTTTTAAACTACGTTTTGGTCAAAGGTAGTATTCTTCACCAGAACACTTGAAGATGGGTCTCTTGCTAGAGCTAGTTTCCTGTTGAAATTTAAACATTTGTTCTAACCTCACCCCAGGCATTGATGTCATTAGCTAGTCTTTTTTTTTTTTCCTCTCCTTTTAAAAAAAAAAAAAAAAGGGAAAAAACTCATGCTGCTTCAGATAAGGAAAAAACATTCCCATTCGCACAAGCAGCCCCCTGTTTGCGTTAAGAAACGGATGAATCAGTTTGGATCAGGCTTACCAGAACAAACAGTGTACTCTGGATTAAAATCTAAGGGATGGTAACAAATTAAAAAGTTTTGAGTGACTGGAAGTTATGGCTTCATGATGTCTATTAGATTATCTGAACTGCCACAGAATATATCTGGGGCATGCTCTTCCTACGAGTTAACTGCAATAATTTGTGATGCTTGTTATGAGCCCTCCAAATGTCGGCATCCTGTTTACTTGCTTTTAAGCCCAACAGTTATTGCATTGTGTGTCTTCAATGTGTGCTATTGGAAAAATGTAGCCTGTGTTATGTAGGATGGATGCCTACTCTGGCTGACCTGACACTGAATTATTTTGCAATTCTTGGTTTGTTGAAGATATAACTTGCTTCTGCTTTATTGGTAATTGTACATGTTTGTCCATGTATGCTGGAGGAATGGACCTATCATATGCAAAACTCTTTTTAAAAAAAAAAAAAAAAATGCAATTGTTTGACATAAGCCTGGAACGTTGCTCATATAAATAAGACATAATGGTTTAATACTAAAGGTTGTTCTGGGGTAAGTGGTAACCTCTCTCTCCCTCCCAGTGAGTTTCCCAGCTTTGTCTGTAGCAAAACCTGGAGCAAAAGTGCATGGATTATTTCTTGTGTGATGTGGGGGATGTAGGATATGTTGAGGAATGAGAGTTAGTTTTAGTATTTCTTTAGATGTTGGGCTAACGCTGTAAACGTAATTCTGAAATTCAGTACCATTTCTTTATTGTCGGACTACATACTCTCGGTTTTTGTCTTATAGCTACTGAATTTATAGTCGGCATTCGCAGTGACATTGGAATATGTGGTTTGCTACTGGATTACGTGAAAGGAGATGTCCGTAGTTGCTGTTTACAAGGTCCTCTCTAATGAGGGGAAGTGACTCCCTTCTGCATAGGAATGAGTGTAAATCATGAAATGTCTCTCTTTGCTGCTTTTGCCCACACCAAATGGCTTCTGCTTATTTGTTTGATGCAAATATATTGCAGACTGAGATTGGGGTCTGTATTAAGGCCAAATACGTATGTGTATATGTTAAAGTTCTTAAAGGGAGCTAAATCTTGCTTCTGGGAGCAAGATAACTTCCTGAGGGACGGAAAAAATATGCTTAAATCCGTTTGGCTAAAGTAATGATACTAAACAATGTGTTACTGTAGGGTTTGTTTTGGTAGGCCCCCCCCCCCCCCCCCCCCCATGTAAAATGTCTTAAATCCACGTATTAAGATAGCAGACCATCCAAAAGATACTATTTCTGGAGCTTTTTTCCTCCATTTGACCTTGAATTTGGGCTATTACATGCCATTGCACGTTATCTGAATGCTCTTATTGTGTCATAGCGTTTGAAATACACAGGAGTATACTGTTAGTTACTTGCTAAGTCCCAAATACTGGACCCTAATGTTGGTAACTTAAAAGGTAAGTCCTGAGTTTTCTCTGATTTTTTTTTTTTTTTTTAATTGTGGAAGCGGTCTCCAGACGCATCACTGTTCTTGTTTGCTTATTTGCAAGTTTTAACTGGCAAGACAAGTTTTTATGCTTCCCTGTCTTCCTTTGCGTCCTGTATTTGTGCTCCTTGCCTGCTGCGCTGCTGCTCCCAATTCTCTCCTTTTTCTTTTTTCCTATCTTAAGTTTATGTACTCTTTGCTGTGTAAAAGCGATGGTACTGTATGAGGATTGCTGCCTCTTAAAATCCCCCAAGGAAAGGAGGAGTTGTACTGTACAATGCAGTTAGCTCTGTTAGCTATCAGATGCTATGATAAAACACTACAGCAGTAAACATAACTTATTTGTACTACTTTGTCTGAAAATATCTACAACGTGAGGTAATTCGACCAGTCTGTGCTTGGAGCCCTGGCCCAGAAGCAGTAGCCTATGTAGCAGGGGACAGTGAACTTGGATACAGAAGACAGCAGCAACTGGCCCTGTGTTTCAGCATCTCTGTGGTGCTGCATGCACGCTCTCTTTTCTTCCTTCCTTAATTTTTTTTCTTCCAGCTAGTAAGATCAAGCTACGTTGCTCTCTTCTGGGGAAAGCAGTGTTTTCTGCTGGCAGCGTCTTTGGAGGCTCATCAAAGAAATGTTGCATCCATTTAAAAAAAAAAAAAGGCAGCTGCTGATGGCAGGGATAAGCAAGGTTTTCATCTTGTACTCCAAGAATATCGGCATTGGGGTTGGCCTGGAGGGGAAAAATAGGCCTAGGCTCACCCACGGTCCACAGAGGGGATGTCTTGCTTGTTAAAGCACACTGTGAAAAGAGAGGAGGAGTGTGGTGTGCCGCTGCCCTCTAAGATATGCACCCGACAACTTGTGTATGCCTGGGATCGCAGCAGTGTGGATACAGGGTGTAGCGAGAGGTACAGTGCCGTGGTGCTGCTTCCTGCTCTGCACAGGTTTGGGTGGCTTGGGCTTTAAGAGTTGTTCCCTTCTCCTTCAGGTCTTAAAAATGGTGGTCTTCAACCACCAGCTAGTAAAAGGAACGAATTTGGTTAAAAAGCGATCCAGCATAAGTTCCTTGTAGCTTTGGCCGTATCAGCTTTGTAGTTGCTGCCCAGGAACGGTGCTGCCATAAAGGAGCGTCAGGATTATGTGGCTGGGGCAAGACCAGAAGAGCCCTGAATTAGATGTGCCTTAAGTGCTGCGAAACACCGCCTTATGTTTGAAGTGCAGTGGTGGATTTGAGTTTGCCCAGTTTGGGTCTTCTGTGATGAAAACTCAATTTAGCGTGAACTCGCGTTGACTAATTGTAACCTTCTGCTGCTGTATGAGGCTCTGTCGAGAGTTATGCCGCATCAGCGGTCAGAGTTGAGGTTTGCCTTGATGTTGTAGAATAGCAGCTGGGTTTCAGGCTTTGGAGGTCTTCCCTGAAGTCTTCGTGTTCCAACTTTAAATAGCTTTATTCTGGAATGTCAGCTGTTTGTCACAAGGTGCTCTCACACCATGGCTAAAGGTGGGTCTTGTAAGCGTGAGTGGAACTAACTCCATAGAGCTCCATTAACACTATTTTATTTTGTTTATTTAAATCTTTGAAAACTGGTAATAGTCATGCAGTTCTGTAGCAGGTATCCTTAGGCCTCATTGTAAGCGCACAAGGAATTACTTCAGGAAATAAGCCAACTGCCATTCCTGAACATTTTTTTTTCTTAGATGAGTTGGAAAACTTTGAAAAAGAGTTAAAGCAAATGAAAACAAATCTATTTGAATTGTGTACTGGCTTGGGTAGCTTAATTACAGGATGGTTTGTTTTGGAGGAAATGAAGAAATTCTGTCCAACCTGAATTTTATACTGGTTACCAGATATCTGAGGCTATAGTAATTCTATATTATCTTGGATTCAGGATAGAAGAACTGAATCCTTACTAAATAAGATTCAATACTAACAAATATGGCTTAGACTTTTACTCAAGTTAATGCATATGTTGTTTTTTGTTAGTGCTGGTGTATCTTCTACACTTCAAAATTTGAAAGAAAGGATGCTGTTGATTTATCTCAGATTGTGCTGAATATCTTGTGCGTTTCTAAATGTAAAGTAGGAAATCCTAAACAAATAAATGGAAAGGCTATAAAAATGATAATAAAGGGACTACTAGAAATATCAAAATGAATGTTTTAAATTGATCATCTCCCCTTCTACCCCATTTATTTCAGGTTTATGACTCTGACTGTTGTGACAGCATTCTTCTGGAGCTGCGGGAATATCTGCCAAAATACTTCGGTGTCTGGTCACCACCTACTGCACCAAATGGTACTGTTCTAACTTTATCTATTAGTTCCAATCTGCTGAAAATTCTTCTGGAGAATGATTTTGGCAGGTGTGGGCTCTGTAGTGGTGTGTCTTCTTCCCCCAGCCCCCCCTTCCCTTTTAAGCCTCTGTAACTCACTCCTGTTCTCTCTAACGACACATTGCAGTTTGTAGTCCTCTGGCTGGGTCTGAGTTAGGCCTCCGTGCTGGGGTCTGCTGCTGGGGCTCCCAAGGTTGAATCACGCTGCTTTGTTGTATTGTACAAAGCAGTTATTTCAGTAGGTACCTTGCTTAAGAGTACTGCTTGTCCTACATCCGTTTTGAATGGAATGGAGCTCTGGTTTCTTACTTTAGTATTTGTGCAGCATGTTAGCAGTTGTGAAGAAAAAGATATTTTTGGAGGACAATTGGCAATAGCAAATAGATATTTTTGTTGTATACTTAAAATAGGAGCTAGTTTATTTCTTCTTCTCGCTCTTATTCACACTGAAGAGGCTGAAATTCTGGAACATACAGGAACCAAAGGACGTCATCAGTCAAGCCAATTTAAATATGTGGGCACCTAAATGAGAAGCTGTGATCTTGTAGTATAGTTCTAGCTTCTCTTCCTTGTGCTGTCTCTGGATAGACTTGTTTTCCAAAGACAGCAGAAATTGCACTCTCCAAACTCTCTGAAAACAAATGCAATGATGATTGTGGTAGTATTTAGCACTTTCTTGGTTAAAATTTGACTTCACGTTTTTGTATTTGGCACTAACTCGAATAGCTCTACCACAGCTCTCTTTCCTTCCCTTGTAATTTTGTGTCATGGAGCTTGCTTAGTGTCCTCTCCAAATTGCACATCAATTTTTCTTACTCACAGTAGGATCTTGGAGAAGTGAAAAATGTGTAATCTGGCTGAGATACAGTAATTCAATACATCCGTAGTTTATGTTGTGAATTAACTAATGCTGTGCACAGGGGGGCTGAGTTTTGGCAAGTCTCCACAAGTAGTAGAGATGTAGCCACTAGGAATAACTGTTTAAAGGAGGGGTAACTCTCCTTTGTTTGTTTGTTTGTTTGTTTGCTTCTTAAGATCATGCAGTATCAGGAGCTCCTTTGATAGAAAAGCTACGGCAGAGGGTTTGAATAAAACACTCCGTTGCCAACTGTACTATTTCTGGTATTAAAGGGTTTCTTGTAGTACTGATAGAAATCAAGTGCATCAGAGATTATGGCGTTTAACAGGAAATGTGCATGCTGGCTACTTCCAAAGCTGAGCACTTTGTAACATTTTAGCAAATGGCTTAAGCCTTTCAAGTTAGAAGTAATTTCTTGGTCAGAAGGCATATGTAAACACAGGTGTGGAAGACCTCTGTGATGTATTTGCATTTCTGTATCAGTGCTCGACACCAAAAGACACCGAAGCTGAAAAGAATAACCAATGCTGCATTTAGGCTGGCTAAAAAGGAGGAAGTCAAGTTTAGAAAAACAAGAAGGGAAATAAATAGACGATAGGGAATGTGGAGAGGCTATTTCTAGGGAAACTAGGGTTGGGGGTTTACCTGTCTTCCCTTGCCCCACTAGCTGTGATTTTAGCTGTGGCGCCATTCAAAAGGTTGAACTTTGTTTAACTGCTGTGGTGTGTCCCAATGACAATAGATGAAAGAATCGAGCCACTAAGAAGGCATCTAGTTGTTAAATTTATATCAAGGTAGCATTTGTAGCCTTTTGCAGTCTTGACACTGGAAGCCTGACGCTTCCTGCGGCAATCACTGCTCTACAGATTGTGGGGACGAAGCTCCAGACAGCCTTTGAGCAGAGAACCTAATAATTCCTTATTGTTGCCCAATGGACATAAGAAACCTCTTGCCAAGAATATAAGAATAAATCAGTTTCCAGATCCCTTCTGCTTGCTGCATTTTCTGGGTGGGTGGGGGGAATATATATATTATATATTTCAGAATTTTCTTTATAAATGTAAATATATTTATATTTTAAAATAGTGCTTATGTGAAGGAGAAACTGCTTCTATATCTTGCCAGGACAGAGAAGAAGATGGCCGTAGGCATTCTTAATCTCTAAAGTTCCTTTATTTATGAGATAGTGAGGGAAGGGAGAGCTCTTTGGCAACAGGTAAGAGTCTTATGTGCATAGCTTCAGAGCTCTTACTTTGGGAAGAGGATTGGGAGTTTGAGTAGCGTGAAGAGAATCCTAGACTTGCAGTAGAAAAAACTGAGACTAAATTAATTTAGGACCACACTGAAGATAACTGTGACCCTCTCCAAGTGTCTATATGACAGGTAAGCAGGAATTGTGGTGGGCAAGGTGGAGAACACAGGGAATCTCTTTTCGTAGAGAAAGGTTTAGGGAGACAAGTGCGAGTCTTGTATGCTAAAACTGCAGGTAAATGGATGAAATTGCTAGCTAAATGGGAAAAAATACATTAAGTGTTAATTAGAGCATAGGAATGGCCATCCCTAACCCTACACAAGATTCATCTTGGATTATATCATCTCTAGCAGGTGCCTAAGTACACAAGAAGATGCTGATGCACGCTTGCCCTTTTGTTGAACTTTTCATCTTCTAAGCAGAAAAGATACCAGTATTCACAAGCATCGTTATCAATAAAAATGTGTGAAAACTGTCCTGTTATGCTAAAATCGCATACCTCAGCATAATAAAAGCATCTGTATAGGCCTTCTGGGTCTTGCTTTACCCTCTGTCACAGTGCTGGTGCTATGGCGTTGAGCCACCATTAGAGATGGATGACACTACATCTCGTGAAGACAATCTAAAACTGGAGTGAGACAACTTGATTTGAACTTTGGTTTCAATGGTATTGTAGGCATTTGAAGTGTTTTCATAAACACGTGGAAAAGTTGTTAGGAAGATATGTAGGAGCCAAATTAAGACTTTTTATATCTCCTGCTGAGAGCGCTAAGATTCTAGTTTTTGCTGCCTACTTGTTGCCCCTGGTTCCCTTCCCCTCAGTAACTTTATTGCTGTTCATTGCATTTCCCTCTAGGCTCTAACTTTTGTTGCCTAAAATGAGAACAGGGTAGATAAATATAACTTGTAACCAAATCTTTCTTTTCTTCTCTTGTTGCTGGGAGCAACTGAGGCTTTCCGTGCTTATTCATGTTTTGAGAGCTGTCTTGTAAATTATGAAAAGACGTCAGATGCCTCAAGTTATTTTTTCACTTCTGATTCCAGTAAGGACTGAATGCTTCAGCATGTACATGCTGAAGTCTGCAGTGGTTCATGCCATACAGACTTGCTGAATTTTGGTCTTTTTTTTTCCTGCTTGTCTGCTTTGGGACTATAATAAAGTATTTAAAGACTGTGTCAAGCCACATCTTCCCCTCTCCTGAAAAATAGAAAGGAGAGTGATTTGTTTAAAATCTAGAAATGCATATTGAGGAATACCTGCCGAAGCTAAGATACAGGAATCCTTATGACTTCTTTTCTCTGCATGGGATTTTAATTTAAGCTCTGTATAGATAGCTTGAAACTTAATTTATTGGTATGCAGTATTTCTACGTGACATGTGCAGCATATCTAATTGTGTAATAGAAAATTGTATCGGTGAATATGTAATTTTCAGAAGCACTTTGGGTTAGCAGTGTTCTACGTAGTATTTTAGAAAACATGAAGCGCTTGGAAATTGTGCAATTTTAAAAAACAGAGTACGAAGGAGAGCTCTAGTTATCTCTGCTCTGCTGTAGACTTCAAAAGGATACTCGGGCTCAGATCCTGAAAGGGTAGAAGAGCACCTGACTTGAACAGGCACTAAAATGAAGTAGTTAAGTGATACCTACCTGTGTTTGGTCCTTGGTTTCTTTTTTTGCCTCAGTCTTAATGCTTTGCAAAGTGTTGTAGGGGTAACTGTGTTAAAAGTTGTGATCCACTCTGATACTGTGATGTTTGGGATCTGTGTCAGTAGACCGGAGACAGTAAGATACTGAACACACTGCAAATAAGAACCAGATAGTGCCAGGAGAAAATATGCATAAACACTTGCTGCATTTTCTGAAGCTGTAGTCAGCCGGGGTTGGGGGGGAGAATGGAAAACCCTTGGAATAATGCTTTATCTCTTGTGGCAACCTCCCCTTTTGCTTCCCTGCCCTGGCAAAAAGTCTTTCGAGACTGTTAGGTCTGCTCAATACATTCCCACAATCTTAAATCTGAGGTAGCAGTTAGTTAAAAATGAAGCCTTAAAGAATAATTCCAAAAAGCGAGTGAGAGATGAGTCATTTCTGGATAATTCACAAACTTGGCCGAGTGATTGGTGTTTTCCAGAGTTAGTATTCACTCTAAAGTTATTTTAACGCTTTTATTTGTTTTCCGAGATGTTTGTGTGTGTTTGTATACGTACCTGCATACATAAAATGCATCTATCTGGTAGGCGCTTTTTCCTTTCTATGGCAAACCTTTGATGCAGTGCATCTGCGAGATCAGTTCTGAAAACCTTGAATTTCGCTTATTCATTTTTCCTGGATTGTTTTAGAGTGATGACACAAACCTATTGATTATAATAACTTCCATAATAAGCAAAAAGGGTAGGTGTGAAGGATGGCACTTAAATTTTTACTGTTTTGGTTGAGCTAACAGATGGAGAAGAGGTTACATAGATTTCCCTGGATTCAGTACTGCTCCCCCATAAACTCAAAGCTTTGCCAATATCTGACTCAGTTTCTCCACATTTGAATAGAAAAAGTGGAGGCTGCGCTTCAGGTGATAAAGAATAAACTTCCCGGTAGGGAGAATACTTGTCTTGCTTCCCCTTAGGGTGCATCTGGTGAACAAATCTGGAGCACTTTTGCTGCCCGTGGCTTCTGTGAGTGAAGTTTGAGTTATTTTTGGCCTGGATATCCCTGCGGTTGTAGTTAACAAATCTGTTTCGTGGGTGAGCTGGTCTAGAACTAGACACTTTTTTTTTTTTTCTGTAGCTAGATTGATTTTGTAGCCTGCCGGGCAATGGAGAGTAACATAAGCTGATAACACTGAGTTAATGGAAGATTGAAGTTTCTTTTTAGAACAGAAGTTAATAGTTTGACATACTTCCCTGAGCGTGACTATACATTAAAAATATGCTTGGTCTCATTTATAGATAGGCAGGCAACTAAGGATTAAATCTGGTTTATTTGATTGATACGTATGTACTTTCGGGAGCTGAGTCATTCAGTCGTGATGATAACATGATGTAAAAATTATCAAGTTCTGAATAGGGCTACTTAAGTAATAAAAGCCAGTTTCACCGCTTATCCTTAGGAAAGCGTTTCTCCTTCTTAAGTAGAAACAGAGCGTAGCTGTTTGTTTGCTATCGGTACAGCTGATCAAATCAAGGCACTTTCTCTCTTCTGCTCTTTAAATTTGAACTGCAGAAGTTTTCCTTTCTTTGGCAATCCCATTTTAGACTCTGCTGGAGAGGTGGGGGAGAATAGGATGTCTGTGCGTATTCAGATTCCTTTGAAGCCAAGGAGACGCATTCATTGCAGTAGGCTGCACTTGAAAGAAAAATGAATTTTATGTGAAGTTTGTGACAGACTTGCAGAAAAAAAAAAAAAAAGGGGGGGGGGAAGGACTTGCAGAAACAGATTTGTGAAGGGTGTGAAAAACTATTGTGTTAATGGTGCGGGTGGACTTGGTGCACCGGCGTGGACTGGAGATCTGCGCGTGTTTTCTCTAACCAGATTTGTCTGAAAGTCAAGCAGTTAAGTTTGTTTTCTGGTGCTCTGACAATCTGTGCAGTAAATCTTGTTGGCAAAGTATCCTGCTTGCTCTGGGGAAAAGCATGAACCAGTTTATTTTAGATAGTCCTTTAGAAACTGGTTTTAGATGGTCTTTTAGAAAGCTTTCTTCACAAACATTTTGGGTTTTGGGGGTGTTTTTTTTGCACCCCACTGCCCCTATACATCTTTTGGGAATGGATAAAAAGCAGCCTAAGATTCAAGGAATATTTTCCCCCAAAGGTATGGCATGGGAAGGAGTGCAGAGGGAAGGAGAGGGGGGGGAAAAGAAGACAAATGAGATGCGTTTCTGCTGCTGTAGGGCGAGGCTGTGAAGTATAATTTCATTTTTTTTTTTAAATGAAACAAAAAGTTGCAATTTTAGTTCTAGCCCTTTCGCACATGTAAAGAAAACACAATCTTCGCCGCAAAACGAACCATGTGCCAACCTGCAGTTGTGTGCGCTTATTAATGTTGTTTGAAGTATGTTAATGGTTTAAGAGCTAATTAGGAATTTCATCTGGGCAATAATTTGAATTTGGGTGCTAGGTAGGCACTCTTCATGTATACTTTTCTAAGCCCTAGGTCTTTAGAAATTAATGTCAACAGAGCTTGTGGGTGTCAATGACCATGATTTAGTCTGTCTTCATAGACAAATTTTTTAAAGAACTTGCATGGTGCTAAGCTTTAAGCCCTTCTCCTTCCCCCACAAAAGCTCAGCAGTTTTTTTTTCTAACTATTTTACTTTGATCCGTTATTAACCAAAGTTTTGTCTTTTTAACAGATATGTATCTAAAACTGGAAGACGTGACCCGTAAGTTTAATAAGCCTTGTATAATGGACGTAAAAATAGGTCAGAAAAGTTATGACCCGTATGCTTCAGCTGAGAAGATACAGCAACAGGTCAGCAAGTACCCACTAATGGAAGAGATTGGCTTTTTGGTGCTTGGCATGAGGGTAAGAACTTGTTTTGCTTTCAAATTCAGCTTATGCTCTGGCCTGTTGTCCAACGCCATGTTTAGTGGGTAACTTCCTTAGTGAATAGTAATCCATTTGAGGTTTTAGTGGGTAACTTCCTTAGTGAATAGTAATCCATTTGAGGTTTTAGTGGGTAACTTCCTTAGTGAATAGTAATCCATTTGAGGTTTTATGCAAGTGAAGTGTTATCTGAATATATTGGTAGTACTGGTATCAGGTGTCACATGAAATAAGTTTCAGACCATTCATTGCTAGTGTTCAGAGCAAGTGTTTGACTTTGCAGAGTCCCTTCCATATTCTGCACCAGAGTTCAGTAAATATATGTGACAGATGTTGGGTTATGCTGAAATTACTTAAAACTGAAGTAGTTCCAACTGATTTTTCTCACTTAGCAGATACTTAAAAGATTATCCAAATATTTGTTGGCCTTTAGGCTTATATTAGAGATTTACATACTGGATCAGGTCACCTAATGATTTAACAACAAGCTGCATCCTCTCCCAGTTTTTAATTTTGATTTTGTAGGTTTTTTATGTGCACTTGCTTACTTCTGCTTTAATGAAGTGAGATAAGGCACTTGAATATATTTAGGAAAGAGTAGGTTAACTTTCGGCAGATGATGCACGTAGTTATAAATAGCTGCTTGTGTTCTGCATTTAGAAATGTTTTCCACCAGAAGAAAACATCTGGTGCTTGTATGCTTGAGGAATAACTGTCACTTGGAGACTAGTTTGAGATGAATAAGGACCTTTAGATGTCCATACTAACTCTATTGCATTTCCTTGTTTTAAATACTTAATCTTCATTTGTCTCTAAAATTTTGACATAAATAAAAGTTTTGCAGAACTTTTGCAGATCAGGAACCACGGACAGATTTCTTTTTCACATCTATAAAAGAGATCCCTTATGCTGAAGTGCATTCAGATAAGGTTTTATAGCCTTATTGGGCGATAGGGAGACTCCATAGTCATCGGAGATGCTATCCCACAGTGCTGGGGTCTTTACTGTGTGTATTCCTGTGCTGTTGGTCAAGCTCCTTCTGTTTTGTTTCCTTATTTTGCTTTTTTTTTTTTTTTTTTTACAGAGGTCCTACTCTGTCTTGTTGAATGGATTCCTGATACAATACGCTTAAAGTGTGGGTTGACTTTTTTCTCTCCTGTCGAGGTTGGCACAGGAATAACTTTCTGGCTCTCCGATGTGAGATTTTGTTGTTGTCCTTGCCTAGAGAAAGCCAAAGCTTCTGAGGCTTTGCATCAACAAGCATAAATGGCTACAGCCTCTGTCAAGCTTCCAGTTTACCTGGGTAGCGGTGACACACAGTTTGCACCGTTGTTTCAAATGATTCTCATATCTCCAATGTGGTGGTACTTAATTGTCTAAGCTCTCAACCTTAACTCCATCTTGAGATAAGCTTTTTGTAGCTATAAGTTATAGTGGTCATGAGCAGTAGTTACGTAACATTGTGTAAGAGACTGTGGGAGTAGAATCAAAAGCCAGCCAAACAGTTTAGATCCAGAAGGAAGGCTGGAGATTATAGCTCTGGATTTGGCTTATGTTGTTACATAACCTTTCTTATCTCATGTGTGAAACAATGTACTTCACATTCTTTGTGTTTCAGGACAGTGTAAGAGGAATGCTTACTTCCACAGTGTTTGCGCTGGCGGCTGCTGCCTATAACACTGCTATTTACGGATGTCTTTATCCTGTTAGAGGAATTCATTCCGCTCCCTAATTAAAACTATCTTTATAATGATGGTTCTTCCAAGCACTGCAGTTTCCCACCCTCTGTTTAACTGTGCGAGGTCTGTGCAGCTGGCACCAAATTGCATGTTGAAGTTGTTTTCCAGAAAGAATTCAAAAGGTTCCTCCTCCCCTCATGCAACACTTCAAGTATAAATTCACAAGGCCTTTTCTGTGCTCAGCTGGTCTCTTCGTGTGAACAGGGCTCTCCTTGCCTATAATCTTTCTTTATTCTCACAAAACTGATAAGGTACAATGCTCTCCTGTGCAGGCGTTTACTGCCCGAAAGAGCTAATGTGCTGGGTGAGGGCCGCTATGTATTTTGTCCAAACACACACATCTTAACACAATTCAGAAAGTATTGGGGGTTTGATTTTAATCTGTGTAATATGTTTCTTTTTTACATGTGTGTATGTTGGGGGGGTATTTATTAAGTTCCTGCTTTAGGGGAGCAAGGAAGGGAAGAGGGCTAGGAGAATTAGGAAATAGTTACATGTGAGGTGTTTTCCTTAATTTTTTTTTTTTGTATTAGCACAAACCACCTAAGTTATCGTGGAGAAAAGCTACAAACAATGTATTTATCTAGTTCTCCCCCGCCAAAGCCATTGATATGAGCTGATGGAGCGTTTTTATGCTTTGGTAAATAAGCTGTCATTTATTTATACGTAAATACAAGGTTTGTCTTAAGAAGCAGCGAGTGCTCTATTTGGCAGCACTGTTAATTTATATACATAGTTCTGGTATTTGGCCTGTGCTAAAGCATGTTCATTGTATTTCGGTGAATAAACATAATACATGGATGGAAAATACATTTAGAAAGTACAGGCATTTAAATAACACTGATAAAACGCAATTTCATAATTAGTTTTGCGGTTCCTTTCCTTAACGTATGAGGAGATAGATTTGCTAAATATGTAAGTAGTGTGAGCAGTTCTGCTGCTAGGAAAGTCGTGAAAATTTAAGCATGAGTCAGAGCTCTCAGTTATGGTTCCAGTAGCAAAAAAAACTAGTTGCAAGATGGTTCCGGTAGCAGTAATAGGAATAGGTAAGAAATATCTTAGCAGTGTATGCAGTATTAAAAATAGTGTGTTTTTTCTGCTGTTAAATACAAGAAGAACGTGTGGGTTGTGATTTTTATTTAGAATCGCAGTCCATTTAGCATCCACAATGCCCGACTTCATCAGGATTTTTTTTTTCTTCCAGAATATCTTGATTATAATATTATGTAGTCCCTAATATTTGTGAAGCTTCATCTTTAAATTTCAGGCTGGTGATTATATAACCCTACCAGCATAATCTACAATTTAGTTTTTGTTTGTGCCTGTTAACTATTGCAGACGGTAACGCGGATACCTCATCAAAGCTGTCTTTGCGAAAGAATTTCCTAATCCGCAACACGTTCTTGCGAGATATTTTAAAACTGACTTTGGTCCGTTTCCTTCGTTAAGAAACGCTCGCTAACGTTGCGATAACTTTCATGAGCTCTGATATGTTAATAGCGAGATTTAGGAGGGAAACAATAGTAAAGCTATCAAATCCTGTGTATGCTGGGCTTTTTTTCCATAGTTTTAAAAAAAAAAAAAAAAAAGAAAGGCAGCAGACGAAGGCTGTGGTGGTTCTGCCGAGCTGCTGCCTGCGGTACCTCCGGGTACCGCTTCCTCCTCCCTTGCATCTCTTTCAGCTTTCGCTTCCTGATTCTCGCAGCCTAGCTGCGTTCCTGTGTTTCACAGCCTGACTGTGCTGGCTGCGCGCTGCAAAACCGAACGCAGCACTTCCTCAGAGGCCCTACCTGCTGGATTCAGGGGATGTGTTTCAGAAATACTTCTCTTATCGAATTCAGAAGATTTGTCGGTCATCCCTTTGGGCAAGTTTTAGCAGCTGGGTGCTCTGGCATTTTTTTCCAGTGCTTTTTCCCATAGGCAAGGGACTGCTGTCATGTATATGACAGCTGGTACATTTGTGTCCTTATGTCTGATAAGATTTTCTGCATGTCAGGAAAAAGGCAACAATTTACAAGAGATGGCCTCTTTGTCCCCACGATGTAGAAAAGCCTGCATAGGAGAAATTTACTCTTAATGAACTGCTCCGTGGAAGTTCTTGGAGTCCAAGAAAATGTGTTAAGCTGTTTTAAAATATGTTTCGTGATTTAACTGCAGTATCTTCCTTTTTTGTTTAGAAGCGGAAAACTGTTCTGCTTTTCTACTGAATTAATTTCAACATAATTTGATTCTGCAGTTTGCTTATGCAGGGACCTTACTAAAGTTTTATGTTGCTTGTCATAGCATTTGACTGAATACTTAATTATATGAAACTCAGTCAAATAACAGAAAACCAAGCAAAGAAACAAAACATATATAGAAGAATATGCTATTATAGCCCTAGAAACCAGGGAACAGGTATGCATCCTGTCTAGGCTGAATTTGCAAGCCAGCAGCAAGCAAGGATGTGTGTGCTTCTGTTGCTTTTAGTCTAGCAAAGACAATATACGTTTAAAGAAGGAAGGGAAAAAAAGGACGTGCTCTTGGCAGCAGTGAGTGTTATAGCATTACCACAAAGCAGTAATATCAAAAAAAGAGAATATAAAAAAGCAAGCCTTTCCATCTCCCCCTTCCCCCCCAAATCTTCATTTAGTTTTAATTTTAAAAAAGGGCTTTTTAAAATGCAATGTTTAACTCTTCCTGTGGCAGGACAAGTCCAAGGCTCTGCTCCCTGAGAGAAGACTGGAAAGAAACCTGGGTCCTTCCCAGGTGTAAAGGAGACCCATACATTTACATAGGGCTTATGGTGAAGTCCGGGGAAAAGGTGCCCAGTTCTGGATCTGGCATATTGGAGCTGCCTGACGCTAAGGTGATGGCCTGGTGCTGGTTAGCTGAGGAGGCCCCTGGGCTCCTCTTGCGATCGAGCAGGTTCCCGGGCGAGGGGTACGTGTCCTGCCTCCCTTTGCAGTCTGGCTCTCCAGGTTCGGTAGCGGGTTGGGTGCCAACTTTCACGTGCCTGTTGCAGAGAGGCCTTGCTGTAAGCAGAAAGCTTTGTGTAATGTTTCAACACCCTTGCTTGCTCCCTCTTACTGTGGAAGTGTAAAATAGAGGTGACTTAAGTGTAGTTATGGAAAAAGTACGGGGCAGAGGGCCAGCTAGGAGTGGATTGCCCTTTAAAGTCTGACTGTCAACATCAGCGCGTGTGTTTCGAATGGCCAGTTGCGCGCACCCTTGCTTAGAGGAGCAGGTCCCGAGCTGCCCTTGCGGGGCGCGCGGG